TGGTTGCACCCTTCCGATATTATCACCCCCTAAATCCGGCAAAGGCATATTTGCGGTAAAACCAGTCGATCAACGGTGTAGTCGATGGTTCCGCGCCTTTCCCTCTTGAGTTGTCCGCTCAAGGGTACCAGTCTAATACCCTATAGAAACCTTACTCTATTTAATTGTGCATGCATCATGGTCAAACCTAGCCGAGTCGGTTATGTTGTCCGCATAATGACTCTTTAAGATAGCCTTTGTCCAAAGTCCACTGGGTTTTCCCAAAACCCAAACGGACACTATCACGTTTTATGCATTTATTTGGAGAACTAAAATGCTTTTATGCCAATTTTTGATATTAGATAGTCGAGTCTGGTGGGAGTAAGGGCCTAAACTTTTTTGTCTTGCAGAAATATGAGGCACGAAGTCCCCAGATTCGGCATGGTCACCAACATCCACCCCAAACTGCTAAGCTGGTGGAAGGATCTTCATTCCAGCGATCAGACTCTTGTCCAGAAATACCTGGGAAACCTACCTTCTCTCTTGGAAATTCAACCCAACAATAAAGTCATAGAAGCTGCTACCCTATTCTGGGATTGTGATAGGTCTNTTCAGCATTCTCATACGTAGATAACATGTCTATAGGATTTCTGCACTCTCATATAGATACAATGTCTATAGGATGCATATACATGTAGAGAATATGCCTATAGGTCCTTTCTGATTCTTGCATATCCACTTCTCACTAGGCAAACGTGTTTATAGGTCTTAATAACCAAACGCAATCAGATGTCATGTTCATATAAAATCCAGCATTTAGATGTCATGCCTATAGGGTTTCTGCATTTTTACTATGTCTATAAAATGTATTTTAAAGTGAACAAACCCATAGAAAGCATGCCTATAGGAGCTTTAACCGAATCTGAATCACCTCACTCGTTTATAAGTCTAAAACTAGCAGTAATAATGTATTACCAATGGCAGAACTTGTGCACTTCTAAAACTCGCTTTTAACTGGCGACTTTTCTTAAATCAGTATGTAATCAGTTCATATTCTTGTTTCTGAAATCTGTAGATATCATGCTCATAGGTTTTCGTCTATCACTTAGGCAAGCCATATGATAACTTATAAACTGAATCAGGTTTTACTAGCTATAACCAATAGGTAGGCCTGCTTCGGGCTTCTTATCCGAACTATGTAATAAATCAGTCTGCCTTAAATCTTTAAGTTTTAATTAGACCTTAAACAGTACGTGCAAGACATGCTAAACTATGTGCTTCTTTGGGTTTAAAGGAGGTCTGTCTGAGCCTTTTTATTTGTTTATATACTTCCCCAAACTTGCTATATATGTTTTGTTAGTCGCCTTAGTATTTTTACCTTTTGAAACCACAAATGAGCCCAACGACCCCTCCCTTTAGGATTAGTAGTCCCAAGTACCTCCGGGACTGATAGGATTGGGGCGGTAATAGCATGCAATAAGTAAACGAGACCATTCCGCGCTTTAATACCTTAAAGGGGTGGGAAAGGGTAGATATGGATATGATGACCACACGATAACATCACGCGTAAGAGTGATTACCGGATGTTGTGTGGGGTGATCCATATTATTAATAAACCTAGGACCCCCTTCCCTTTGTTTCTTTGTTCCTTTTAAATCCTTTAAGCATTTCTTCTAAATCAACTCTCTTTAATGCTTTCCGACTTTGTTTATTTCTAACCTTTATGTGAAAACCCCCTCTTATTTGAAGTCCTACTTGCCTATGTGTTATTTGTACTTAAGTCACAACAATAGCTTGGCCGGGAACCACACTAGTGGATCCTGAGGGGTGCCTAACACCTTCCCCTTGGGATAATTTCAAGCCCTTACCCTATCTCTGGTTATCCAAAATCAAGCTCTTCTAAAGTGTCCTAATGCACTTAAATCATTAGGTGGCGACTCTTCAATTCCATTAAACCCAATTCCCAAAAGGGAACGAGTTGTCCTCCTAAATGTCATAAATCCGATTTCGCGAGAAAAAGGGGGCGTGACAGTCGTCACCTGCATTATTAACGTTGTGAGTAATACCTGTTACAGGCTGTTACAGGAGGAGGGCCGTGTTGCTCGTCTGTCACTGGTGCGACGCAAACTCTCGTATCATCTCTATTCGTCCTTTGGGCGGGTTTGTCGAGGATGCTGGTTAGCGTGTTTGTCAAACACGTCTCGAGTAGCTTTTTCACCGCTGGTGGGGCCTCTTCCGTTGTGGACGTAGAGGCCCCTTTACCGTGTGCGGTTGTAATGCTGCCGTGAGGGAGAGGTGAACCACTCCGCCTGGGGGAGGCGTTTGGCGTCATGTCCTCAGCCTTTGTTTCAGTGACTTCGTTAATGGTGTTTAGGACGTCGGTAGTAAGATTGGCTACTGCCTTCATCCTTTCTTCTCCATTACCTGCCATGTTAAACTATGCACGCAAGAAAATACAAGGTTTTGCGTTGTTTTCTTTTAGATCTAAAAGTATATAAGACTTTGACTAAGAAATTCCCACAGACTGCGCCAAATTGTTTGACCAAAAAAAAATTAATCTTTGGTTAAACTAATTAATCAGTTATTAAAGGGGGTTAATCCTAGTTAAAGTTAATAATTATAGATCCTAGATTAATGATATGAAGAAAGTGAACAGTGGAGAAACGGATTTAATGCACCAGCAACAAATGCGTCAAATGTAGGTATCAAGTATTAAATATCAATAAATGGCACTAAATGTAAATAAGGAGAAAGATTCACCCAATATTGAATGAGATGAATGATTCTTTCCTCAGACAATGATGAGCGACAACAATATAAGACTATTGGACACTTTTTTGGATCTGGTGGAAATGACAATAGATAATCCAAAAAGGTCGAATCTCCTCAGAAAGTTGTTCTTTGTATTTATCTAAAGAGCTTACTTTTCGAGAGAGTTCTTATCATATAGAATATTACCTGCCTTTTGACTTATCTCTCATACTATTTATAGAGGATATTCCTAAAAAAATCCTAAAAAGTACAAACAGAGAGAATATTCAATAGAATATTCCATCTGAAGATCCCAATACAAAGCTAGCCGTTACTTCTATCTATGTTGCTCGTCCTCGGCCGTGATGGACCACTCGGCGGGTCGTTCTATTGATCATTGATTGACCTCGACCAAACTAAGCTCTTTGGTTTGCAAATCACTCATAATAATCGTCTCCGCGTTCCAAATTTCCTCGGTCTGAATTTAACCCATACAATATTGAAGGATAATGGAACAAACCTTACCAGAGGAAATCCCAACCCCTCCCAAAACAACTTGAGTTCAGAATGAGTAATCCAATTATTTTGTAACCCACACATGTTTTTCCTATATCCAATGGAAGAATCTGACATAAAAACACCCAACATTTCTATTATATATAAAAGGAAAGATGGTTGACCAAGGGCATATATGTCATTTCATAAAAATTCCACGTGGACCCCTTATTTCTCTAGCCACAACTCTCCTTTAAATGCACTATGCATGTGTTGATTAGACTGTCTGTGCAATACAAATGCTCATTTCCAATCTTTTTCTCATTTTGGAAATTATTAATTTTGTTTTATTCAAATAGAAGTTTTCATAGAAAAAATAAAATTAATTTTTTAAATAATACAACAACAAAAGAAGTATCGATATTTACAAGATTTTCATATTTACCCATACTATCTTAAAGCAATTTGAAAATAAAAATTAAATGATTTTCATCTATCCTTTCTATTTGAAGACGATTTCAAACTAAATATTTTTATATTCAAAAGTAACTTTAAAAAATATAGCTTGTTAAACCTCAAAAGTTAATTAACTAAACACCAACAAATAATAATTTTAATATAATTGCAATGTTGGGCCCGTATACGGGTCTTTTCTCATCTAGTAGTGTGTTAGACATGAAAAAAATATCTAAACATCAATCCCAAGGTTAGAGTAATTCAAGAATTTATAACATTTTTAGAAACCCTATACAACTTATCTGAGCTAATTATATAATTCAACTCCGTCTGACTTGCTTAACAAAGGTTAGTTTTAATATCAAAGTACTATTTGAATATCCAATCCAATCCAAATATTTACAGTAATTGGAAGAGTACTGCAAATGTTTTATGAACAATAGTTTTGGAAAACCGTACAATAACACACGGAACAATGCTATAACTCAATCAAATCCACACTTATTTCACTCTTTAGATAAATGTGCGCAAAATTATCGAAATGTTATTTTATCTCATTTTATATGATGCTATTATTATTTGATTATATATTATACTTCCTGTGTAATTCTACATATGTAAATTACTTTTTCAAAACTAAGAAATTAATGGCTAATTTCATTAGACGCCCTAATTCTGATCTGGAAAAAAAACTTATACACGCTAGATATGTGTGTATTCCTAATAAATTAAAATATGAAGCGTGTCTTATATATGCACGTTAGTCATAGGTAATTATTATGCACTCTCACCTTAGTACGTCTTCTAATAATGATGATAAATTTATGCAATTTAAGGTAAACACCGACTAAACTCCGTCAATTATTTAGTGTAGATATGAATCCGTGACTTGTGACTTGTGACTTGTGAGCAGCGACCAGACACGGGTTCCCCTTAATCCACCGTCATTTGCGCAGTGTATCACTGCTTAACTTCACTCATCTGCCCAACTCCACGCGTTTCAAATCCCACCACTTTTCTTCCACTGTACTTTTATTTTGTCTTCTGCTCTCTCCGTTCCAATTTATGTAAATTTATTTGACTGGGCACGGAGTTTAAGAAAAAATAAAATTTTTTGAAATTTATGGTCATAAACAAGTCAAAAAGGGGCCAAAGTATTTATGTGGTTATAAAAGCTTCTCTGTAGAATTATAAATTTAAGCTAAATTATTACCAAATTTAGAAAGGAATATTTTTTTGAAACGGAGGAGTAATTTCCTTTTACATTCCTTCTTAGGTCAATCCATAGTGCCATAACCCTCCTTTATAATATAGGCCCTTTATTTATGCCACATCTCTCACTATAATACTTCTTGACATTTCACGCTAGTACCTCCTAGTATAAGTTAAGTACTCCCCACTCTAGTCCTATCATTAACGTGCATCACTAGTGTTCCAACAGACAAAATGGCGGAAGAAGAAGTAGGAGAAGAGTACCTTTTCAAGATTGTGGTTATAGGGGACTCTGCTGTTGGCAAATCCAACTTGCTGTCGCGTTTTGCCCGTGATGAGTTTGACCACAACTCTAAGGCCACCATTGGAGTTGAGTTCCAAACCCAAGTAGTGGAAATTGATGGCAAGGAAATTAAGGCCCAAGTTTGGGACACAGCTGGTCAAGAACGTTTTCGGGCAGTCACTTCTGCTTATTATAGAGGTGCTGTTGGGGCTCTCATTGTTTATGATATTAGCAGAAAGACCACTTTTGAGAATATCAAATGTTGGCTTGATGAACTCAACAGTAAGCCCCCTTTTCCTTGGATTTTATTTGGCAAGCATCTAAAGTTGCGGATTTCTTTTTGGACTTGGATTTGCAATGATTTTGTTTTGATCTGGATCCATTGTTTTGATTTATTAGCTGGAATAGTTGATACTGTGCATTTTATTCCCTTTTTGGTAAATGCTGATTTGTTCATTTTGACATCAATTAACTTGTGTTGTGCCTACTTCTCATCAATTTTTGGGTGTACTTCATCTTTATTGATGTTATAAGTTGCGATTCGATGCTGCAAATGTGGTTTAAATTAGCAACTACATTTACTTGGGAACAACTAATGGAATTCCCCAGTTACCAGAAAAAGGGTATTGTCTCTGGAAAAATGCACTCTTGATTTACTAAATTGTTTACTCAACAGTTTACACATGGAAATAGAAAACTAATGATGTCTGATTCTGGGTGTAGCAGTTGTTTGTTTACTATTGCATAAGGTTCATATCTATAAGCTAGCTGTAAGAGTATCAATTCTGCTGGATTATTTTTTTTTTTTCAAAAAGTACCAATTTTGCTGATAATTTTACTCCTGCGCATTTTATGTGTATGAGCATGTGTTACTTTGTTTCTAAACCTGTTTGAAGCTCGTCATGTTGCAAGTTTCATTTTGTGTGTTCTGTTTCAAAGTGAGCTGTCATCAAGATTGGTGACGGTAAAAGCACTTTTGACTACATTGTATCAAGGCAAATTATTTGTCTACATATGATTGTGAAAAATGTAATAACCGGCCAGCTATGGACTGCTATATAGATTATTTACTGGTACAGCTATTGTGAGTAGCCTGTTAGATTTGAGAATAACTATAAGACGTACATACAATTTTTGGATTATGGTGAATGAAGAGTCACATCCCAGTCTTCCTTGTATGAAGTCCAACCTGTGCTTACTTATGTGTCAAGAGAAGAAACCTAAATATGTGTTTGAATTTCGGCATAGTTGAGGCATTAAGGATCATTGCTTTGAAATCACGTCATTTTCTAGCTCATCTTCCACTTGCAGTTGTGCAACCAAGATAGTTCTGCTGGAAGTCTTGGACTTGTCTGATTTTCATACAGTCGACCCCAACTAGCTGGAATTGAGGAGTTGTTGTGTCTAAAATCTGAAACTCTAACATGTTATGAGCTAATTTTCAAAGAAATGCAGATTGAGATAGCCCATAGGTAGCATGACGAATATTTGATCTGTATGATTTGATTTCAGTTGTTCACCAGGCTTCACATAAGTAACCTAAAATTTCTGCATCATCCCACCATTAGACAATTTGTCTTATCCATTCGATAATCTGAATCTATGTGGATCTTCTCGAGCACTGCAGCTCTGCACATCCATTGTAGGATTCTACTAACAGGAACTGACAAGTTTTAATAAATTCTCTAGTATTCTTCCTGCTGATTCATAGATCAAATTTTATTTCTCTCAACTTAGAACCATTTTGGAGTTGTTTTACTTTCCCCCTTCTGTTATTTCAATATTCGTGTGAGTATATAGTTATTAACCTATTGCTTAAATGATAATGCAGCCCACTGTGATACAACAGTTGCAAGGATGCTTGTTGGAAACAAGTGTGATCTGGAGAACATCAGAGATGTGAGTATAGAGGAAGGAAAAAACCTTGCAGAAGAGGAAGGATTATTCTTTATTGAAACATCTGCTCTGGACTCTACTAATGTCAAAACAGCCTTTGAAATTGTCATCCGCGAGATATACAAAAATTTGAGCCGGAAAGTTCTCAATTCTGATTCATACAAGGCAGAATTATCAGTCAATCGGGTTAGCCTTGCCAATGGAACCGACATGTCAAAGCAAAACGCATCGTGCTGTTCCAGATAGTATTTTACGATTATTATTATGTGGATCTTTAGTCTCTTTACCTTTTTAGACACTTATCCTGCCCTGAATTTAAGCTGGGCAGTTTCTCAAGGGTGCATGTCGTGTTACGTTTAGTTCATTGCTGTGTTACTTGCAGTCTTGCAACTAAGGGGTGCAGTACGCAATAGCCCCAACAAGGTATAATTGTATCTTTACGAGGCAACAGAATAAATATTTGAGAAACGATTGAGTTTTGACAAAATTCGTAAAGTTCTTTTCCTTCATTGCAGACAATGACTTTACCACTGTCAAGCGTGTCGATTTAGCCCAAGACCAGTGTTTACCCGTAACACGATATAGTTGAATTTCTAACTGGTTTATAGACACGTGAATTAACTTGATCCGAGAAAATGATGTTTAGCAGAATGAAATAGTAATATTAGCATTTTTTTTATAAAAGTATTTTGTGTCCTTCAATGAGTACAAATTTCGTTGTTTATAGCCAAATTAGGGGAGATAGGAGCCGAATCAAGCTCCTTTATAAGGTGAATAAAGATCCCTCTTGTTAGCTGCATAATCGTTGAAAGTAAATGCTATGATTCTCTATAACGCCTGCTCCTTGAATGCTGCCCTCTTCAACTGGTATCTTGATTTTAAATTATTCTCTCTAGTCTTGGTATCTTCGGAGCTCATACAATACTAGTCACATGCTTTTATCCAGTATCTGCTATTTGCTCACTCATCTCTTACATGTCTTTACTGCCACGTGTTCACTTAATGAACATCCACCTGTCATTTGTAAATTTTACGCTTTACAGATAGTCCCCCTACTTTTCGGTGACTCAACTTGATGTGACCGGGAAGTAGATAAGACTTTTTTTCTTGGCAGGAAAGTTCTTGAACGATTTCTGACACTTGAAAAGACGCACGTCTCTTTGCATTTAACGAGCCGAACACGTGTTAACCTTCAATTCGACAAGTATTTTCGCCAGTTACCTAGGTAATGATGGCCTTGCATTGTGCCGCCTATAAACTTCTCCCTTTTTCACCACTTTCATCTTTAACTTTTACAAACTTTCTTCTCTGAGTCTTCCTAAAACTTTTCTGCAATTCCCATTTTCTCAGTAAAAACTTACAAATTCATACTTTCCATCACCATGTTTTGGCTATTTCATCTTTCGATTACACATGAACTTGCATCTGCGGTGACCCATCCAAAAAGAACAATCTAAAAAACCTGATGCCGGACCTCCCTCTACTAACACGATCATCCCTTCTCAGTTGTATTGCAAAAAGGATCTCCATGTTCAAAAGACACCTTCTGAACATGATAACGACAGAAACAGAGGTGTTGGTGAATATCCCTCTTCTATTCACCCAGCCAGTATTCCTGTTGTAAAAGAGGAATGTGACTGGAAAAACATTATGGTTTTAGCCCCGAGTAAAGTGGAGAGTATTACATTCAGCAGACCGGGGTACATTTACGTTTACACGTACCCTTTTACTTTAAGACATGGCAAGGAAATAGACTTAATCATCTTGGACTTTTGCCGGAACTACCGAGTTTGTTTAGCTCAAGTAGGACCAACATTATGACACTGTGGCTTGCCTTCGATTCCTGTGTTCCCGGACTCAGGAAAACCTTACTCTTGCTCATATGATCAACCTCTATGCCCCTAAATCGTGGAGGCGTGATCAAACTCAGCAAACGTGGTTACCATGCCATCGTTACTAGTGTTGATGACGATAACGTTCGTGGTTGGATGGAGAGGTTTGTTATTGTCGCTCTTGGGGATATTTTACCGCCGTCAGCATCTCCATTCCCGAATCTTGGAACTACACCCGTAAGCTTTCTTAATATCCTTCTTTTACCGTGTTAAAGGAATTTCCCCTCTTTACTAAACATTCTTTCTTTTTATTTCAGCCACCAGTTGGGTTCCTCCTGCAGTTAAGAATCTAACTCAATGGTTCAGAAAATTCTAGATACTTCCACACTGGATTCCCGTATGTGGAAGGAAATTTCAATCAGGTTCAACTAGAAAGGCAAGAACCATGGTGAGAAAAATCTTCCCCTTTCCTTTCTTAACTTTTATCACTATACAAGAGATAATTTTTGACTTCTTACAACAATATGTAGGTCTTCCGAAGGGATCTTCTGTCTGTCCCACCGTTGTGATTTCACATGACCCGAAAGTGGCACAACAACGAATTCAAGAAGCCCTTGACCGGAAGACGGCTCGTGACTGACAAAAGAACTTAGACATGGACCAGGTTCATCTTGTGAAACACAGTCATGATCGACCCAAACATGTGAGATGCACGTGAAGGAGATAAATCTAACTTATCAGAAGTAATATCTCCTGATCTGATCGAAAAGGTTGCATACTGGATAAGGAGAGAAAGACTCCTTACATGAAGAGAACACAGTTTAAGAAGAGGATAGTGTTAGAGTATGAGATCAACTAGAACTCTTTTACGATAGAATAGTAGAATCTGTATCCTAGTTAATCTCTAATTACTAACCCATTAAATATCAGTGTTGTTCTCTTTTACAGGTAATGCACATAAGCAGAAGTTAAACTTAAATTGAGAGCAAAAGAGCAAGGCGATTTTGCAAGCAATTTATGTGTGATTCAAGCGTGCAATCCTGAAGCTACTTGAACAAGATAGAAGAACCAGTTCCAAGTGTCTATCTTTTATTCTAGTTCAATTGTAGTAGGTGATTTTACATTGTACCTTTTAGCTTTTATAAAAGTAATTGTATTAGGTACCTAGAGTGTTCAAGTTAGAGTTAACTTGAAGTTGTCGCAACAGTTGAGGCTGTGTGCCACAATGGGATTAGAGTTAATCCTTAGGTTTACAAAGAATTTTGTAAATGTTGTTTTGGCTCAGTGATTTTAGTGGAAGTTTGGGAAAATCCTACTGAGTAGTAGGTCGTGGTTTTTTTTACCTTTTGAGCCAGGTGTTTTCCACGTAAAAATCTATGTGTTCTTTATTTTCTTTACTTTTTATTCCGCAAACAGTAGTAGTTGGAACACATAGAAGAACCAGGTCCTTCTATAGTTCAGTTAAGCGAAAATTGGGTGCCACACAAATCACCTCCCCCTCTTGTGTGGTATTGAATTATAAAACATCAATTGGTATCAGAGCAGGTTATCCTTGAAGAGGCTAACACCTTAGAAAAAGATCAAGATGAGTGCACCACCTGGAAACTGGGAAGGGCAATCCACTGCTAGGCCCCCGCTCTTTAATGGTCAGTACTATTCTTGGTGGAAGAAGAGGATGAGAGATCACATCATAGGAGAAGACTATGAACTCTGGGACATAGTCACTGATGGTCCCCTGGCTACTACAAAGAAGAATGCTGAAGGAGTGGACGTGCCAATGACAAGAGCTGACTGCACTGGTGAAGATTTGAAGAAATAGGAAAAGAATGCCAAGGCCAAGAAATGGCTTGTGTGTGGACTAGGTCCAGACGAGTACAGCAGGATTCAAAGCTGCACCACTGCTAAGGAGATATGGAACACTTTACAAGTGGCTCATGAAGGAACTCCTCAAGTAAAGAGATCAAGAGGAACACTACTATATTCTCAATATGAGAATTTCACCATAAAGGAAGGAGAAACTATCCAGGAGATGTACACAAGGTTCACAACCCTAACAAATGAACTTAAATCTCTTGGGAGAATTATCCTTGAAGAAGACAAGGTTTAGAAAATCTTGACAAGGGTCTTACCAGTAACTTGGGAAAGCAAAATCACTGCTATTCAGGAATCAAACAACATTGCTACTCTCAAGTTGGATGAACTAATTGGAAATCTCACTGCCTATGAACTGAGAAGGCAAACCATGAAAATGGATGCACCCAAGAAGGAAAGGAGTCTGGCTCTCAGAATAGCTGAAGGTGAAGATCTAGAAGATGATGAAGTGGCCATGATCACAAGGGATTTCAAAAAGTACCTGATGAGAGGAAAGGGTTCTTCAAGAGGTACGACCTTCAACAAACCAAGAACTCCTGAGAAACAGACCCACGAGGGTTGCTACAAATGTGGCAAGACTGATTTCATGATCAAGAACTATCCCCAGTGGGAAATTGAATGGAAGAAGGAAAGGGCTGAACGAAGGAACAGAAAGAAGGAACAGGTTAAACCCAGAAGGAACAAAGGATCAACCAAGGCTATGATTGCTGCTTGGGGAGAGACATCAGATGAAGATTTAGAAGATGAATCTGGAGATGAACAAACACTTATGGCCATCAAAGAATCAGATAATGAACTAGAGGCCCAAGTGAAGGGAAGTAGCCAAATATGGTACATGGATAGTGGCTGCTCAAAACATATGACTGGAAGCAAGAACCAGTTCCTTTCACTTGAGGACTTACAAGGAGGTAATGTCTCCTTTTGGAAATGGGAAGAAAGGTGAGATTATTGGGGTTGGAAAGGTAGGTAAGACAGACTCACATTCCATTGAGAATGTCTACTTGATAGATGGCTTGAAATATAGCCTAATAAGTGTAGCACAACTATGTGATAGAGGTAACCTTGTAGCATTTACCTCTACCAAATGCTTTGTGATTAATCTTATCACTGACAAGATTGTTTTGCAAGGAAAAAGAGTTAACTATATTTACATTGTAGATTTGTCCACTCTTTCTGAAAATGAACTCACTTGCTTGAGTGTGTTGAACAATGATCCCCTCCTGTGGCACAAAAGACTTGGTCATGCAAGTCTGAATCAACTCAACAAATTAGTCTCCAAGGACCAGGTGATAGGGTTACCTAACATCAAGTTCAAGGAAGACAAAGTTTGTAAGGCCTGTGCAAGGGGGAAGCAGGTAAGATCATCCTTTAAAAGCAAGAAAATGGTAAGCACAACCAGGACGATGGAACTGGTTCATATGGATCTCTGTGATCCAATGAGAACATTGAGCAGAGGTGGTAAGAAATATGTGATGGTACTTGTTGATGATTATTGTAGGTTTACCTGGGTACTATTTTTAACATATAAGGATGAAGCATTTGACATGTTTACTACCTTTGTTAGAAAAACTCAGAAACAACTAGGTAATCAAATTGCATCAATCGGTTCTGATCACGGAACTGAATTTGAAAATGCTAAGTTTGCTGAATTTTGCGATGAGCATGGTATAGATCATAATTTTTCTGCCCCTAGGACTCCTTAACAAAATGGAGTAGTTGAAAGAAAGAATAGGACTCTTGAAGATATGGCTAGGACTATGCTTCTTTCTAGTAAACTGCCCCA